CGGTTGCAGGAATCGCCATTGGCGGATTCGAATGGAATGTAAGTGGCGCACGTTTCAGCAAACATTGTAACTCAAGGATACCTGAAGCGATCAGACAGGCCACTCTGTCTGAAATTCCGGCTCACTTGAGTGCGGTCAGAGCCCTCACCCAGAGCTGCCTCCCCGAGAGCTGGCATCTGGCAGCAACTCCCACCGCAAGAACAGTGTTGGTTCCCATCCCCCCGGCCTCTCTCAGCACTCCCACCCTCAGGCCGGTCAATGGGCTAGGAAACCAGTTTCCCACAGAGGTGTCCCCCCTCAATACATTGAATTCCCCCACTCTGTCCTTGTCCTTTAATTGCTTGATTGTGTTTCAAATAGTTATAAGCAACATCTCCAGATACCAGGCCGAACGGGCAGCTTTTCTGATCTCATCAGTAGCTTGTTTTGGAGGGTGGAGCTGGGGGAAGGGGAATATTTTGTTTCCCTCCAGGCAGTGAGGAAATTGGGATTGCCTGCACCTTTCCGCCCCGCCCACTTGTCTTCTCATTCCCCGCTCAGTAAGAGACTGTTTCAAATAGTTATAAGCAACATCTCCAGATACCAGGCCGAACGGGCAGCTTTTCTGATCTCATCAGTAGCTTGTTTTGGAGGGTGGAGCTGGGGGAAGGGGAATATTTTGTTTCCCTCCAGGCAGTGAGGAAATTGGGATTGCCTGCACCTTTCCGCCCCGCCCACTTGTCTTCTCATTCCCCGCTCAGTAAGAGACATCAGCCCGGAAATGCAGAAGCTGTCTCCTAATCCACCCTCAGTGCTGTATTTCCTAGGGTTGTTACAGATCGTGTAATCGGATAGTCGTGTAACCACATGAAATCTTAGCAGTTACACGACTATTCGATAATCCCTGGGGGGCGGAGCCAGTAGCCTGTGCGCTCCCGGCACCACTCCCGGGAAGCCCCCTGCCACCTTGTGCTGATACTTTTCTATCAGAGGCAGCAGCGCTGCTTCATGGCAGCCTCCCATGTCTCCCTTCCTTGTGCTGCTGCGGGGGGCACCATGGAGCTAGTGCTGCAGGGAGGGGACCGGCTTTTAAGACAGCTTCCCCCAGCACCG